GCGCCGCCGCTGCGCCACCGCTGTCGCTGCGCCGCCGGGAGTAGTGACCGGAAACCCAGGAGTTTAATGGTTTGAAATTTATTTCAAAAATCCGGGTCGGGTCGTGTCAACCCGGCAACCCGCGTGGGTCAGGTCTGAGTTGAAAAAGCCGACCCATTTACAAAAACGGGTTGGGTTCGGGTTGACCAATTTATAGTCGGGTCAATTCGGGTTCGATCCGAACCTGACCCACTGACCCGAATTGACATCCCTACTTGGGGTTGTCATCTTCCTCTTCATGGCCCCCCTCTGCCCCGCCGGGCTGGCTAAAAATTAATGTTGATGGGTCCGTTCTCAGATATAACATGGGAGGCATTGGCATTGTCATTAGGAATGAGCGGGGTAAACCAATTGTGGTGGCGGGTTGGAGTATTAAGCATTGGGACAGCACACAAGTTGATTTCCTAGCCATTTTTCATGATTGTCGCATCATCGAGGGGTGGATGTTTTAGATGAAAGAGATCATCATAGAAGGGGACAAGGTAAGTATCATTAAATTACATGCAAAGTGCAAGGATCATGGCAATTGGAACACGCAACCGCAGGTTGTAGTTGATCTTAATTGGCTTGAACTATTTCACAAAGTGATGTTTCTTCATGTTCCTAGAAGGTTCAACCAAACTGCAAATTTTTGTGCCCAAAGGGCTATTGATTGTAATTTTGTTTGGTTTTATTGGGAATAAAGATACAAATTGTATTCCTCAGGATTTTTTTGGCATCCTTGAGGAGGATAGGAGCTTACATGTCCAAACTTGCGCACTTTTTACCTTCTTTTGTAGCTATATTTTATATATTTGAATGAAATATGCAATCTTTCAAGCAATGGGAGCAGGTAGAGCTAAGGGTGTGCAAGTAGCGAGCAAATGAAGTTGTTAATTAACAAAGCATCCAATATTACCATGAGTCAATATTACCAAAGCCTTTAGGTTAATTAACCACTTCATTGTGGGAGTCACAATCAAATGGGCCACTTAGGGGGTAGACAAGTCGATAGTAGATGGACAAATAAGTAAGGAGTGTCCTATTGAGATTTAGGAATCTACACTCCCATCGAAACCCAAATTGAAGATTGAGCTCCAGTAAGAAGTGAACAGAGTAAAAATCACAAGTTTGGAGTTGTTTCCTGTTCATGAAGGAAAGCATTCTTCTAGGAAGAGCATTTATTACCTGGGCCATGAGGAAGGAACCATGACTTTCTTATATGATTTCAATGAGTGAATTATTGGAATTCATGGAAGTAAAGATCCTTAAACATATATGTATGAAAATTAAATATAGGAAAGTTGAAGACTAGGGCCAAATAAGGTTTAATCTTTACCTCCTATGATATTTAAACATGGCTAAATAATAGGGGAATTGATGTGGTCCCCATCTAAATTATTTAAGGCATCATGCTTGTTTAATCTTAGGATAAGGAATGACAGGTAAAACCAAAGTTTACATCGGTGAAATTAGGAACTGAGACATTTTACCTTAATGAAGTGAGGCATAAACCTAGAACAAAAAAAAATCAGAAAAGTAATGATAATTTATAAATATATCATGAACCATTAATAAATTAACTTAGTTCGTCATTATAAATCACAAAATCACACACAAAAAAGAAGTAAATCTCAATCTTAAATCTTAATGTGAAGTGAAATAAAGTTCAAGATAAGGAATCACCTTAAATTGATATATGTTATAACGATCAGGATTCATAGCTTTCACTTCATTTTCAGCTTATTCAGAGGAATCATCATATGTAACAATTCCATCATATGCCATTGTAACGCTCGCAACCTTGCCACACTTGCTACCTAGATCCTCATTTTTTACTCTCGAGTGCTAGCGCTCTTGAACCACAGTCCTCTCTAGCCTGGCTCTTGAACCACAGTCCTCTCTAGTCTGGCACTTGAAGCATAGCCAATAACTAGTCTAAATTTTAACATATAAAAAATTTAAATCCTCTTTTAAAAAAACTCAAAATAAGCATCAATTTCAAGCGTGCATCTCAGGTGACTCATATAAAAAAGCCACAAGCCTTACACAAGACGAAATCTCAAGAAGCCTACCAGACACTTCACGCCTCAAGGAAGATGTCTTGAAAACCTTTTTTAAAATATGAGTAAAACCCAAGATATGATTGTGAAGCAATACCGTAACTTCATAGTTATTGAATAGACCATAATGGGCTTTTTAGTTATCAAGTTCAGCTTACATCAAGGTTAGATGCTATTGTGGATGGATTCATTCAAATTAACATCCCATGTCTCCAGGCACCATAGTTGCTCAGGTAGGGCACTGACGAGAGGTGTTTGGAGATGCTAAGTTTAATTTTGAGCTGATGCATCAAATTATTTCATGACTATAGTCTACAATGACTAGTTATGAGTGTAGCTTGTCCCATAGCTTAAATATTCCTTATGGGTCCATTACAATAGCTAGACCGGAAAAGGTGGAAACTTTGGGATCAGAGAAGTCCATGGAAAATATATATTATCGGATTCAAGTATCGCTTCTTGAAATCACTTCAGATAAGAGGGTAGAGAGATCGAAAGAGAGATGGGATTGCTCTTAAGGAAATAGAAAAAGGTCTCTGATGTTTTTATTTTTTGTTAAGATTGGATATGGGCTAGACTTGCCATATCTTATTCAACTTTTCTTTCATCATAAAAAAAGACCTATGAAGGCCTATTCAGTCAAACATCTTAAATGTACCTTAACTAATACAAAGGTTTTGGAGATTGAACCTCATGAAAAAGTTGACTTCAGAGAGATAAAAACCCTTACAGTAGTTGTTAACCTCAATAGGATTCTAGACCCTTCCATCTCAGTAGCAAGAGTTGGTTGGTCTTATGTGTCGCTAGAGCCACTCGCATTTTCTGCCATTGTCCACGTCTCTACCTCATCTGTTGGACTCAATTCAGAAATAACTCTCATCTTCTTGTATCAATCTGTTTTTTTTTTTTTTTTAAATGGGTAAAAATTAAGATTTCTTAAACTTCAATAACATTTGGTTTGTTTTGAGGCCTAAATGATGGTAATTTAAAATTAGTTGTCAGCTGAGGAAGTTGTTTTAGCTCGAAATGGATAATTTTATTTTATTCAATAAATTCTTACAGATCTCCATACCTCCTAGAGAAGTCTAGGATATCCAATTCTATGGATAGAAGGAATAGTCAAAATATTTGAAAAGTCCAATTTTGAATATTATTACAGTAATTTCAAGTGTATTGACTACTCAAATTATGAGCCCATGAAAGATCCATGCACGTGGAATTATAATGCAATATGTATTATGGTCATTTTTCATTGAAGATACAGAAGTTAAAAGATTGAATTATATTCATGATGTACTTAATGTAGTATCATTTTCACAGTCTGAACTTTAAATTTCATATTGTAGATTCTCTTTGTAAAATTATCAATCTAATATGATATTTTTAGGTAGAGGCAAAAATCCTTGGAGAGGTTCAAGACTTGCCTAAGGGCTTGGAGCGAGAAAATAGAATTATTCAAACCATAATGCGGCAGCTTTTGTTTGCTCTTGATTCACTTCATTCGACAGGGATAGTGCACAGGGACATAAAGCCCCAAAACATAATCTTTTCTGAAGGTGATACATGACTGCATTACCAATATAGTACAAATTATTTCTTATGTTGAATAGGAGAGATTATTCTGTGCGGAAATTAGACACAGAACGTCATCTGGAGACCAACCAGAATGCCATATCAGCAGTACTGAGCCGCCGCGGTACCTTGCAAGGGTGACGTGTCGTATTCTGGTTGGTTTTCAGATGGCGTTCGGTAATAATTAATCGTTGAATAGAAGATTGCTCAGTACTGTAATATTGTACGTTTTTATGCAGGGTCACGCACGTTCAAAATCATTGATCTTGGAGCAGCAGCAGATTTACGTGTTGGTATTAATTATGTTCCGAAAGAATTTCTTTTGGATCCAAGGTAACTAGAATTAAAGTACCATTATGAGATTGCTATATCTTGTTTTTGAATATTATTAGTCCACTGCTGGTTCAAGTGCAATTAATATAAGACAAATTGGTTGTCAGAGTTCTTCTTGTTTGTACATCTTCACGGGATAAAGTTTTCTAGTTGAAACTAAAGAAATATAACTAAGCAGATTATTCCTGAAGCACATAAGATGCTCATTCATTTTCAAACTTGTACTCTATGAATATTTGGAAAAAAAAAAAAAGAATGGATATAGGTGATTTAAGAACATGCTACGAAGGTTAAAATTTGACGCGGGACTCTTTTCTATATTTTTTAGGTATGCTGCCCCTGAGCAATATATCATGAGTACACAAACCCCATCTGCACCTTCTGCTCCAGTTGCGACTGCATTGTCCCCTGTCTTGTGGCAGGTTGTATAATTTCTTTGAAGTGAGCAAACTTCATTTCTTCTTTCTTTCTATTTCTCCTTTCGGTTCTCTTTTAATCGCTTTTCTTCCAAACTCAATGAACTTCTTTCCTCTTTTTTTATTTTTACTTTCGACAGATGAACTTACCGGATAGATTTGACGTGTACAGCTTGGGACTTATATTCTTGCAGATGGTGAGTAAGTCGAAGCCATGAATTTGAAATCATATCATACGGAAAATTATTATGTGTGGTGTCCGGATTAGGCCGGAGGCAAATCCGGACGCGCCACGTCACCCGGGGCCCATTGCATCCGGGTGATGTGGTGCGTCCGAATTCGCCTTCAGATGATCCAGACATCGCACGTAGTAATCTCTCCATATCATACTGACCACTTATATCATTCATGACATCCATATGGATTTACTGTTAGGCATTTCCATCATTGCGAACCGATAGTAGCCTTATACAATTCAACCGTCAATTAAAAAGGTGCGGATATGATCTCGAAGCATGGAGGAAGACAGTCGAACCTCGTGCCAACTCAGATCTGAGGAAAGGCTTTGACTTGTTAGATTTAGAGAGGGGGATTGGATGGGATCTTCTAACTTCCATGGTTCTTTATAAAGCACGGCAGAGAACTAGCGCAAAAGCTGCACTAGCTCATCCATACTTCAACCAGGAAGGATTGTTAGGTCTATCCTACATGCAAAATCTGAGGTTGCAGTGGTTTCGTGCGACCCAAAAGGATTACGGTGAAGCTGCTCAGTGGTTAGTCGGCCTAATGGCAAGATCAGGCACCGCATCACAAGGGGGCTTCACAGAAGTACAACTTGAGCAATTAAGGGTAAGCGAGAAGTTTCTTATCTTTCCCAGTTTTTATATTGCATGACATGCAAAAACTCACTAGTGCAAAGTGCTTATATAGCTTGCTTTTCTTCATGTTAGTGAAAATTATGGGTATTTTTATATATAATTTATTTCTCTCACATACAATAGTTGTTTAAAGATGGTACTTTCCAACATATTTAGCTGTAAAAAGATAGTTTTTATCATAGAAAAATTTGGAATTAGCAAGAAAGTTGACTATAGCAGCTTTTTTAGGAAGCAAAATTGTGAAAAAAATGCCAATGAATGGATCCATATTTGATAGAAGGATGTTTTGCGTCCATTTTTGTTGCATTGTGTGATTCATTGTACTTGTAAGAGCAACATACTATCTATTTTCATGATGGAATTTGCAGGAAATTGAGCCGAAGAAAGGAACCGTACAGAGGAATGGTCTGGCTTCATTTCTTCTTCTCCAGAGGAAAATTATTAAATCACTCAATAATAACGTGGATGAGATAACCAGGCAGAGCAAGAGGATATGGTGGAGCAGGTGGATTCCTAGTGAAGAATAAGGTAGCTTCATGATACCGATTATGTAAATTTTGTGCAGAGTTAATGGCATTTTTACAATTTTCTACTATCATGTTTCTCAACTATTTACTGAATTTCATGTGTGATTTAGGGTCACCAAATTATGCCTAATTCTTTACAGTCATATCTCATTAAAAATATATTATCACATTTTAAACAATCGTACTAAATGCTTTCATCTTAACTCTTCCGGAGCTCTGGATGAGAAAAATAAAGAGTTGCATTAGGTAGTCTATAGCAAGTATAAAATTTATCAAATAATTATGACTAAATATCTTGACCGCATGATTTAAAGCGGATCGAGTTCAAGCCACATTGCTTTCATATCTATAAGAAACTTTTTGGTGATGGAGAAATTATTCTGTGCGGATGCCGAACGCAGCTCTACATTCGGAGACCAACCAAAATAAGTCATGTCAGCAATACCGAGTGCAGTATCGAGACGTGGTACCGAGCGGTATCAAGTAGTACCGAGCCGCAGTACCGACATGGCTCATTCTGGTTGGTCTTCGAACAGAATAATTTCTCTTGATGATGAGATCAGTAAGATAATTTCTTGGACATTTAAGTCGCTCCTATTTATCTTACATACATGACATCATTGTTGACCTCCATATCCATTCCATACTTCAACTTAGTCGAACACAAGTAGGTTGATAAGTGGTTGCGAGGCCACTTAAAGGTGTCTCACCTACATTGAAAATTATTAAATGTTACAAGTTTTGCAAAATGGAGAACATTGGCACTTCAAAGCATTGAGGTCATTAAAGAGGACTAACATGATCGATCTGGTTGAACACAATGAAATTGGCAAACGATAAATGCCACGCCATCTGAAATTACCCAAAGATTGCTTGTTTTACAAAAAGAAAAGTGCAGATGCATTTAGAGCATATAAAATATCCAAAAATGGAACAATTATTAGGTTTGGTGACAGGACGTAGCTCTACGTTCGGTCACCACTGAGATCGCGCCACGTGCTCTTATTTTTTACCGCGCAGCCCGACGACTTGACCTGGACGGGAACCCAGGAATGTTATGTTCGTGTATTGCTAGGTGTTATTTGGTATTTGCTCGGTATTGCTAGGTATTGCTTGGCAATAACTACAATAACGAGAAATACTGTTATGTGAAGAGCAATACCGAGTAATACCGAGTGATACTGATTTTTTCTAGAAAAATTTGGTATTGCTCGGCATTGCTCGGTATTTGGCTTTACATAATGATATTTTTTATTATTGTCGAGCAAAATCGACAAATATCTAGCAATACCGAGCAATACCTAATAATTCCGGGTTGTCATGGATTTAAAAAACGCACGTGCGACATACCCACTATTCGCCGGGTCGGGTACGTGGTTTTATTATGCCTGCTACATGGTGCGATCTCAGTGCCGACCGAACATAGCTCTGCATCCGTTCACCAGACCAAATAAAAGTTTCCAAAAATAACACTTCCTGGCAAGTTCAAATGAAACACAATTGAGAAAGGACAGACTGTGGACGTGACACCATGTGATATTGATGAATTGACAATGTCATTAAGCTCGATATGACGAAATTAATCATAAAGAACATCAATATTGATTAAAATTAAAATAGAAGTGAAAATGAATTAAAATAGAATCAAAATAATATTTTTTTTTCATAAAATTTTTATTTATGTATATAAATAAATTTTATTAAAATTTGAATACAAAGTTGTCACTTTAATTTTATTTATATACCAAATAATTATTAACATGCATGTATTAATTTAAAAGTACTTAAATTGGGTTTTCAAATAAGAATTGAATATGTCGTATACGCAATAAAATATCATGCTCCTTTGGAGAAATTATTTTATACAGAGTCCGGGTTAGAATAACCGTTCGAATATGTGACTGTACAATGTATCGAATCAGTGTACATATTTTGTATACATTAATATTTCGGACGGTTGTTCCCGTTCAAACTCCATACAGAATGCTTTCTACCTTTTATGCAGATTTTATCATCTAACTCACAAAAAAATAGCAAGAATTTAAAATAAAATTATTCTTAAAATTAATTATTAAAAATGGAGAAAAAATAAAAATAAAAATTTCAAAATAGATCTAGTCACCATTTACATGGAGATATATGTGCCTCATGAACAAGTTGCCATTCATATTACAACCTTTTTTTTTTTAAAATATTTATTAATTTTTTTTGTTGAAGAATTTGGCGAAGAATACCGCCACAATTTGGGTTAATCGAGAGCTCCAACCCTCCAGGTTCACGGTTCACCTATACTGATGCCCCCCTACAGCTCTACCTACTCTCCACTGAAGAATCTAAGGCAAGTGCTACTTGAGCATGCCTCAACAATGGTTAGAAAGAGTAGGGGTGTCAATTTTTGACACGATCGAAAACCCGATCAACCCAGATCCGACCCGGAAAAATCCTGGTTTGGGTCGACCCGGTTAGCAAACGGTTCGGGTTCGAGTTCGAGTTCGGATATTTGACCCGTTTGAAAAAATGGGTTGGGTTCAAGTTGACATGGAAACTCGAAATCAACCTGAAGTTGACCCGGGTCCGGGTCCATTATCCCAGCCTAGCCGGTTTCTCGCTTCCGCGGTTCCGCCCTAGCCTGCTTACTGCAGTCCGGCACGAGTCCACCTTCGGACTCCCAATGGAACTAGCTTCCCACGCCCCCACCTCTGCAGTCCGCCAGTCCCCACGGACCACGCCGCGTGCGCCAGTAGTCCCTAGGCGCGGCCTCGACCAGTCCCCATGCGGGCACGCGTGCCTCTGCAGTCCGCTAGTTCCCATGTGCGGCGAGATTGCACGAGATCCACGTGGACGCGGGACGACCACACGGCACAACCCGACAACCAGGCCGGACGGGTCCGGGTTGCATTTTCTGACCCGTTTGCAAAAATGGGTCGGGTTCGGATCGTGTCAGATAGCATCGAGTCAGTTCTTGGTTCAACCCGAATTGAGACCCCTAAGAAAGTGAAGGGCCCCAACTCTTTCATCTTATGATTGATCGTAGATTTTGAAGAGGAAAAGAAAGCTGCAGTTCTGAGTGAAGGTGAGGCAATAAACTGGCTTTTGAGAGAGAAATTATTTGGTGCCGAGTTTTGATGTAGCTTTACGTGAGTTACGTTCGGACTCCAATTAAAACTAGATACGTGGAGGAGCCACTTGGATTTTTCTTTTGTATATTGTCTTTTCTTTATGTATTGTCAGCCCAACCGACCCGACTGACTCACAATTTTTTTTACTTTTTAAACGTCGGGGTATATTGGTATAAGGTTGGCGCTTCATTTTAAGAAAAAAACGCTTGAAAGCTCTCAAATTCAAATATTTAGGACTTTTGATACCTGCTAAGAAATAAAAAACATAAGAACTTTGCAATATTCGTGAAGATGGGATGCTCTGGGACTGCTGCTGCTTTCAATTTATCGGTAAATTTTTACCTCATCCTAAGTTGTTCTAACAGTTTCCAAAATTTTGTAGAAATAAGGATTTAAATATTAAGTACCTAAACTTTGCAATATGCTAATGTGCGATTTTTGTGAATTTTTTTATGTGCTCTTGTTTGATGCGCTTTTGCTTAAAATGCACGATTAATGCGATTTTGATGCGGTATTGATGCGCTATCACTACATTTTTGAAAGATTGTACTTTTTCACTGTACTTTTGCTAATATTTTACTGTGAGTTTAAAGGGCTTTTTCTGCGAGTTTGAAGCACTTTTGCTACGCTTATGCTACAATTTGTCTGCGCTTTTAATGAACTTTTTTTACTCTTCAGCAAGTAACCGATCCATGTCAACAAGCGTCGCCGTAGTGCAAAAACTTCAACGCTGAGGCACTAGTTCACTTTAGGGGCACCATGGCACCATTCTTTCAAGCACCACAATCCTAGATGCCTTTTTATGTTTTCATATAAATAATTATGATATAATGTTTATAAGGAAGTTCAGTCACCTGTGCAAATTCAATACTTTTCAGATTATTTTTCTAGTTCACTCTTTGAGTAAAATCTAAGGGAGGCTAAGGAAGTACAAGATACAATTATTGGAGAATATAACATATATTTTTTAAAGCAACTCTGTAAGTTAAAGGGAGGAGTGTAGAGGATATATTTTGATCCCTCATGGCGATATCACTCTCTTGTATTTTTTTATTCTTTCATGGGTTTAATGAAAATGAGTTTGCTAGTTACTCATTCTATATCTGGCTAATTATCTTAGTTTTGATTGATGATATAAAATATATGATAAGTACACAATGAATCAGTGATCAATATTTTATATATCATTAGATATTTAGATGAGGGTATCTTGCTCTTGCACTTATGACTCCCAATCAGTCGCTCCTCATGAATTCCAATTAGTGTACTCCGTATAAGTCCTCTGTTGTGAATAACATGATAGTCGCCCCGACTCCATACATCACAACTCAACCTGATCAGGACAGGTTCTATCATGATGAGCTGTGATATGTTAATCTCAAGATCTAGTTTTGGAATATTTAGATTCTCTTCTAATGTTTGTTTTAAATAACTACATACTACATAACTACAAACACATCAAAATACTAAAAATAAACTCATCCAGAAGATTTCTTTCATTTAATCAAAATATATCGACACTATAGTACATGGTTACATGCAGAAATTACAGAACTTAATAATGAACTATTCATGACTGTATAAAAATTAAAATATAGAAATAACTATAATCTCAGATTTGATCCTAAATTGCTAATGACAATCTCCTTTCCTTTCTCAAATCCTGAAAATCATAAGAAAGGCATAGTAAGCTATAACAACTTAGCTGGCCACACATACCAATCTAAAATTTCAAATTCTTTATTAAATTTTGTAGAATATTTAAAGGCAGTCTAATAATTCACCATGCTAAGAAATATAATAAGTGCATAATAGTTATTTAATTATTTAAATAATAATAATGAGTAGATAAATAAGTTGTAATGCATATCATAGAGCAATGCATATCACGTTTCTCAGACCCAAATAAAATCTCAAAGGATCTGGTCCCTTATGACTCTCTTTTGTATTTATAGTACCAAAACATATCACATATTCCTGTTTAAGTTAGAATCTCAAATGATTCTGTCTTCTTATATCTCCTGATTGTTCCCTGACATAGATATAATCT